GGCGGCCAGCACCATCCCTCAGGGCTCAGTGCTTCCGGCCCAGGGCCCTGCTCCAGCTGATGGCCCCGGGCCTCATCCTGGGCTTTGCAGCCACGCTCCACCTTCCCCTTTGCCTCAGGCGCTCAGTGGAGCAGGAATGCTGGCCGCATTGCCCCTGTTCGACCTCATTCAGTGCACCAACAGACCAGCTCATGCTCACCTCCTCCAGGCAGCCTTCCTTGATACACCTCTACCCCTCCCAGCCTGGCCTCAGCTGACACACACCTCTGATTCCAGCACTTGTCATTCTGGCTTCGAAGGATCTGCTTCAAAGATGTGGCCGTGGCGGCTCCCACCCGCCTCCAAAACTCTGTGCCAGTGCCTGGGACGCGATGAGATCAATAAATATCCACTGATGAGTCAATGTCAACGAGCTGCTGGTTGGTGTCCCTGAATCAGAGCCACCGATGCTGAGGTAGAGTTTATCCACCCACTGCGCCAGGCTCATGGTGCTACTAATCCCATGCTCCAGGACCCCAGAGCCAGGCCGGCTGAGGAAGGAGACCCCCAAACTCTCGAATTCCCTTCTCCCAGCTCCTCTGGGATTCCCAGCAACCACCCCAGCTCCCAGGACGCAGGCAATGGATCCAAAGAGAGACACGAGATCTCCAAATGGGAAGATGGGGGATCATGCATTCTTGCTGGGGGCTCTGCCCAGAGCCTTCAAAATCAATACATGCTGTGTATGTATATAGCGTGTATATATATTTTTAAAGTAATCTACACCCAGCGTGGGGCTCAAACTCATGACCCCGAGATCAAGAGTCACATGCTCCACGAACTGAGCCATGGAGGTGCCCCTGAAAATAAATATTAAGAATATAAACTAGAGGATAGAGTAAAGACTAATGAGACAAAAGTCCCATGCTGTCATACAAGGTAATAATGAATCATTATCATAATCATGATAATAAGAGCTGAGTGTCCAAGCACTTGGTGGGTTTCATTTCATTTAACTTGGGGGCAAGGGGGGGGCTATTAGCATCCCAGTTTTACCTTTGAGGAAACCGAGGCCCAGGCAAATGAAGTCACCCTGCTTAAGGCCTCCCATCTGGTACTGGAATTTGAACCTGGATTTGTCAGACTCCAGAACCCATTTCTTAACCACCGTCATCAGTGAATTCTCAGGGAACAATGAAAGCCACGGTTACAGATGAAGTCAGAGCAGAACTGATCCAAGTCAGCAGGACTGGCTAGGAGGAGAAGGCTCAGCCAGGGATGAACTGGGCCGTAGAATTGCCAGACGAAATGCAGGACATATAGTTCAATTTGAATCTCTGATAAACGATGGGTAACATTTTAGTATATTTCCCTGCAATATCTGGTAGAGCAGGAATGCTGGCCTCACTGCCCCTGTCCAACTTCACTGTCCAGCTCACCTCCTCCAGGCAGCCTTCTCTGATATGACTCCAACCCTTATGCCTCCCCATGCAATATTTGGGGCATAATTATACTTTAAAAATTATTCCATGTTTATCTGAAATTCAAATTTAACCAGTCATCCTGTGGGGTATTTTTTTTTTTAGTTTTACTGAGTTATAATTGACAGATAAAAATTGTATATTTTGGGTGTACAACAATGTGATGATTTGATCTAGGTACACGTTCTGAAATGACTGCCACAATGTAGTTAATTAAGACATCTGTCACTTCACATAGTTACTATTTTTTGTTGTGTGGTGAGAACACTTAAGATCCACTCTCCTAAGAAATTGGACGTATGCGATAAACACAATTATGAACTATAGTCACCATGCTGTGCATTAGATCCCTTACAAGATGAAGTTCTGGGCATCCTGTATGCTTGTGTGCTCAATCTGGGAACTTGGGGAGCTTGTATTTAGCAACTCCCATTCTTGGGGGTATTTCCGGACCACCACATGCCCTTACTGAGACAATACTGGGACCATCCAGCCCCAGAAAACTACCCCAGGCTGGGATCAAAGAGCAGTGAGCTTTCAGACTTTATTTTTGTTCTTAGAACACTGAGGAAAGTTTCCCTGGATACCTGCCAAATAGCAGAGAGAGAACAAAGGAACACCCTACCAGTTCCCCGCAAATCAACTGGTCTCAAGAAAACACCCCCCAGAAACACACACACAAAAAGAAATCTACTTCAAAAGCCTGCCTGACACGGATTCCCGCTGTGACCCATTCCTGTGTGCAGACTGTTAACAAAAAGTCAGGCTGGGGAAAGCTCACAAGGAACAGGCTGGGGCTCTTCTCCTCAAAAACAATCCTCTCGCACACTCAAATGGATACAGTTGGCCAGTTCATTAACACCAACGGGAAAACCCAGTGCTTGGGATAGTCTCTCATCCTGTGAGGTCACGGTCAAAGTCAGGGGTCCAGTCATAGGGAGAAAGGGTCTGGAAGAAAACCATATTGTGGATGCCTGCCAGCGAAACGGGGTGTTGGAAGAAGAGTGGATTAGCCCCCAGAATTTAAAGATAGAATAGCTGCATCATCTTACTCCTACTGCAAAAATCAGCTCCATGTCTGTGGTCCTTGGTGGTGGTGGGGTGGTCCCTGAACCAGCAGCTGCAGGAGCATCACCTGGGGACTTGGGAGGAATACAGATTCTCAGGCCCTGCCCCAGACCTGCTGAATCCTTAACTCTGTGGAGAGTACCCAGCAGTGTGTGTGTGTGTGTGTGTGTAGACAGCTTCATTAACATGTAATTGACAAAGGATAAACTACTCATCTTTAAAAGGTATAATCTGATATGCATGGAACTATAACCACAATAAAGATGGTGAACATATCCATCACCCCCACCAAAGTTCCCTTTTATCATCCTTTCTCCCCTCCTCCTGCCCCCATCCAATGCCCAGGCAACCACTGCCCTATTTTCTGTCACTGCTGGTCGGTCTGCAATTTGTAGAGTTTCACATACATGGGATCATACAGTTATTCTCTCTTTCATCGGAGATTTTTCTTTTCTTTTTTTTAAAAAGATTTTATCCACTTATTCATGAGAGCGAGGGAGCACAAGCAGCGGGGAGGGGCAGGCAGAGGGAGAAGCAGGCTCCCCGCCGAGCAGGGAGCCTGATGTGGGACTCGATCCTAGGACCCCGGGATCATGATGCTTAACCTACTGAGCCACCCAGGTGCCCCTCACTGGAGATTTTTCACTAAGCATAATTATTTTGAGAGCCAGCATGTTCTCAGATATGCCAGTTGCTCATTCATTTTTATCGCTGACTCGTCTACTATCTTCATCGACACCCAGCAGCCCCTCACCGGTTATTAGGCATTGCTAGGTTTGGGCTGCTACAAATAAAACTGCCAAGAACTCTCACGTCAAAACCTTCGTCTGGACACGCACTTTTATTTTCCTGCATAAATACCTAGGAGTAGACTAGTGCATCGTGCAGAAAGTGTAGGTTTCGCTTTTTTAGGAGACTGTTTTCCTAAACAGTGATACTTTTTACAGCCCCGCCAGCAATGTGGGAGAGTACCAGCTGCCCCAAATTCTCACCAGCACTTGGTATGATCAATCTTTTAAAACGCACACATTCTCATGATTGTGCAGCAGTAGCGTATCGTGGTTTTAGTTTGAATTCCTTTAACGACTAGTAATGTAGAGCCTATTTCCATGTGCGTATCAACCATCCGTGTGTCTTCTTTGGCAAAATGTACGTTGAAATCTTTGCCCATCTTTTTTATCAGGTTGTATCTATTGTGTTTAGACAGTCATCTCTCATATTCTGGATTCAAATACTGTTATCAGCTATGTGATTTCAAAATATTTATTCCCAGTTCGTGGCTTGTATTTTCATATTAACTGTACCTTTCAAAGAGCAGAAGTTCTTAATTTTGATGAAATACAGTTTATCTATTTGTCTTCTTATGGACTGTGTATTTGGTGGCATATTCAAGAAACCTTTACCCAAAACAAAGCTAGAGAAATTTTCCCCTTGTTTTCTTCCAGAAACTGTATGGCTTTAAGTTTTACATTTGTCCCTACAATCCATTCTTTGTTCACTTCTGTGTTTGGTGTGAGGTTGTGGATTGAAATCCATTTTTGACATGAGGATTCCCCATTATTCCAGCACTATTTATTTCCCAGATCGTATCTTTGTTAAAAAGGCTTTGGCGTGGAAATTATCTAACCTCCCCTATGTGGTGAACTCCTATTCGTTCCTCAAAACCCCATCAAATGTCCCTTCTCTGACTGAGACCAAGTAGCTCTTTCAACTACCCTCTGGTGCCCACAGCATCTTGGGCAACATCTGGCATATTCGTATCTCACACGACTGCATTAATACGTGCATCCATCTCTCCGGATAGAGTAAAAATTCATGAACGGAGACCATAATCCCAGCACTTGGCACAAGCTTGGCACAGGAGCTGGTGGATGTAGTAGGGTGGGGGGCGACTCAGAAAAAAATTGTTAAGATATAAACAAATGAATAAAAGAATAAACAAACAAGTCAACACCTGTTTTTTAAACAAGTGACCACCATCTCTCCAGGTCCTACTCACAGAGCACATTTTCCAGGAAGCAGGCTCTGACTGCCCCTACCCATGTGAGTCACCAATAATATCTACTAAGAGTACCTGATTGATGGATCTAGGCCAAGCCCCGTGCTCCGCACTTCATGCACATCATTTCATTTACCCCTCACCCCGACCTGATGAGACAGATACTACCATTCGCATTATTTGACCGAAGAGGAGACAAGTGTTCAGAGAGGTTGGAACATGTATTTAATAAGTGTCAAAGCCAGGCTTTGAGCCCAGAGCCCACATGCTTACCTCTCCATATACTGCCTTCTGGTCCCCCTTATGTGTACAAGTCAGTTACCCTACCAGCCCAGGCCCCCACACGACCCGTCCTTGCCAACCATGTACCCCACTGGCAAAGGAGAAGAGTCACACAGGGAGCCCCTCCATCACGCTCCCATCCTGGCCGTGGGGACACAGACATCCGCACCACCCCCCCCGAAGGACCCCTCCTTACCTTAGGCCATACACCCATGCCGAAGGAGCTGCTGTCTGCCATCTGGTGCAGGTATAGCTCCGTCCTGGAAGCAGAGAAGAGACTGGAAGTCGGGGAGGGGCTGCCCACACCAGAGGCCTGGCAGAGCACGTGGTCCTCATGGCAGAGGGCTCCCCGCCATGGCCCGGATGGCCCCAGTGCCTGCCCCAGGCCCTAGTCCCCTTTCTGGAATATTCTGCACTCCCTGCCCTTCCGTGACCCTTCCTAAATGCCAGGAAACCCTGGCATGAAGAATCACTACATACACCCAGGGGAGCGGGTGTTACTCCAGGCCCTCTGCGCGAACGTGCTCCACGGTCATATCCGAACAGCCGACCTGAATGAGTCCTTGCCGTCTGCTTAGTTCTGTCACTCACCTGAGATCCAGGTCCAACCCGGCTAGCATCTGGGAGAAAACCTCGAAATTGCCTTCCCCTTCCGGCTGCCGGGCCACGCGGCTCTTCTCCAAAAGCATCGTCTGCAACGGGAACAGACGGGACATGATCAGCCCCCGGGGTACACCTGCTGGCGACCCCGTTGGGGCGCCCCTCTGCCCCAATGCACTCTTGAGGGCAACAGCTCAGGTCCGCACTCCATCGGACACCTCCGTATAGAACCTGCACCGTCCTTTATCCCACTGATTCAGAGCCCGTCCAGGGACTCAACTACTGCAATAGACTCTTTCCGATGAAAGCATCCAAAAGTAATAATAATTAAACGGAGCCAATCTCCAACATATTCGTATTTAACAGAAGCTTACTAACCTGACCCAAGTGGTGATTAATGGGGGAATGGCAGGGCCAGGACAGAAAAGGGACTTATTTGGCACCGATGAGTTTTCTTTGAGTCTGGATATTATCCCAGCTCGGCTTACAAACCACCCTTCTAATAAACTAATCCTATTTTCTGCTCAAACAGCATGTTTGAGGTGGGAAGGGGAGAGAGACATGGGTGATCGTGGAGATAGGAACAAACAGGCCATGTGTTGGTTACATGCAGCGGGGCCGCAGAAGGCTGGCGAGCGTCTGTTTAATTTCAGCTTACGCTTTTAAGACCCAGCTAATGAGAGGCTGAGTTACATATTTACCCATGAATATTTCATCCCCGCGACATTCGGAGGTGCAGACAGGCCGGTGATGCTCCGGGGTGCTGAGCGAGGTGGGGAGGAGCTGGGGGCCACAACCATTGAGATACATTCCAGGGTCCCAGGTGGAGGCGCGGCCTCTGCTGGGTGGGACTGGGGACACTGCAGCCCCAAGGGCCTTCCGCTCCCGTCCGCCCAGAGCACCCACCTGGAGCTGAGCGGCCGTGACTCGCCCCGTGGCATTGAAGTCCAGTGACATCACCATGGTGACCCGGGTGGCATTGCAGCTGTGGCCCGTGGACACAGAACCAAAAGCCCGGAGGATGGTGAAGGTAGCTCGGATCTTCTCCACTGTTGGAGGCATGAGGCAGGGCATCACCCATGACCCAGGAGCTGCCACCCCCACCTCTCACAGGATGACCTTCCCCACTGGAGGCTGCACCGGTCCAGGCCCATCTGGCCCCAAGCCCCAGCAGGCTCTCCACCACCTCCCCAGCTCAGCACTAAACTACACACATTTCACTGCTGCCCTGCTGTGTCCTGCAAGCAGGATGCAGGGGCAGCAAGACTGAGTCAAGAAGGGGAGACACACGGGGCCAGGATAGATACAGTCCGATGACAGGGGCCTTCTGAGCCTGATGCAGGAGTGCAGGGCCTGAACATTCTCAGACCTGCTCTGAGGGAGCTCACGGGGTATCAGCAGTCTTAAAAAGCCCTGCAGTCTCTCCACAACTAGTTATTGGGCACCTACTATGCGCTAGGCACCGTGCAGGCACCTGGATACAGTCTATCCTGACTCCCACCCTCCAACGCACGCACTCACAGCAGAACTACATTTTGAGAGTGCCAAGACTGGTGCCTCTCCCCATTTTATCCCCAGCCCCTACTATGGGCCAGGTGAAGAGCCACCGATGGCTAAACTTTGGGATAACCCCAGTAGGCAGTAGCACACACAGTACTTAAGGGGATTTGAATATGGGCTCTGCCTCGGCTTAGTTACCTAATTAGGGGCAAATCGGCCTCTCTATGCCTCTGATACCTCATCTGAAGATGGGGATAATAATAGTACCTACGTCATGCAGTTGTCACGCAGCCTAAAAGATTTTAATAATATGAAGTGTTTAGAACATGCTCCAAAGGTGGTGTGGCTAGTATTATAATTGTGACGACTAGAAAAGCAACATGGCCTGGGCCGTAACTTCTCAGCGGAGAGGATATTGCCCCCAAGAGGGCAAAAGCTGACTCTTGCAGGTGGGGAGAATTTTACTTTCTAACGTATAAAGCACAGATAAGCAAACACTGCACGAAGAGGTCATGGTATATCTGTGGCATTAACATTTCTTGGTAGGGGAGGATTGGGAGAAAAAATGTCTAAAAAGTCTCCTTAGGGGTGCAACAATGAAAGAAACATCGAGAACACGGGCCCAAGAGCTATAGCTCTGGAGCCAGAATGTCTGGGTTTGACTCTCAGCTCTAGGATGTATTAGCTGTGTGGCCTTGGGCAAGATAGTTAACCTCTCTGAGTCTTAATGGCCTCACCTATAATATTTGAAGAATAATATCTACCTCATAAAGCTGCTTTAAATAATAAATAAGTTAATATACTTGGAATAGGACCGGGCACGTAAGTCCACAGCAAATGTTTACTACGGTTATTATTAATATTATAAAAATTATTATTATTATTAATTGGTACTCTCTCTTTAAAACCTAGCAGAAACATCATTTCCTCAAGGAAACCCCCACTCCCCTCTCCTCTGGGCTCCCCCCACCTCTCTCCTAACCAGCTCTGCCAGCACTTTGTGCAGAGCATTCAAGTTTGGAACATATATGAAATTCGGTTTCCCTTCCGGCTGTCAACTCCTCATGAGCATAGTCTCTGCCCTTCTGTCTTTACTTATTGGGTCCTCTGTACAGTTGAGCAGGTTGTGCACTGTACAAGGACACCTTTTCTAAGGGGCACGTCATTTACATCATACAATCATAGGTTTGTATATTTATTAGGATGATTTCCAAGCACATGGCAGGCAAGCTTTGGGTTCTAACAATGTCAGTGTATGATGATTGTTCTGCAGATAGCTGTGAATGTCTTGAGGAAGGAGTACCTTTTTCTAATTTGCACAGGGGTGTCCAGTGGACCACAGGTGGCCCTCCCCAGAAGCAAACATGGTGCTCAGTGAATGCTAGCTGAATGGACATAAGGAGGAGCAACCCAGTGCCCCCTCCAATTCTCCCCACCCTCCCCTACAACCCACCCCAACACATGTCATCTGGAGACCACTGTACCTGAGACCCTGCCATCCACACTGCCCGCCATTGCCACCAGGTGCTCCAGGACCTGCTCACAGCAGGTGGTCTTCCCAGCACCACTGCGGCCCAGGGCCACGATGCTCTGGTCTCTCCGTTGGCTCAGTAGTGCCCAGTATGCCCGCTGTGCCAGGGAGCCAAGGTGGGCTGGCAGGCCATCCCGGCGGCCCCTGGGCACCTGCAGGAAGATATCCTACACATCAGTCTTCCCACCCCAGCCAGTGCCCAGGGAGCACTCCAAGACAGTGCCCCACCCCAGCCTCGAACCCAGATCCATATCCCTGCCTGTCATCCTACCCCAGCCTTGTCAGAGGAGTCTTGAATTTTACTGGCAAAAGCCCAGCCTTGGGGTCTAGTCTTGCCCCTGACCCACTGTGAGTCTTTCAGCAGCCTTTGAGCCTACTCCGAGTCTGGGTCTCCTCTCTAGCTCCCTGGAGGCTTGTGTTAGCTCATTATTGGCTAGTGCTTGCCCAGAATGAGGCAGCTGGATAAAATGGCAAGATTGATTACTGATGTCTGCCACGGAAACAGAATGAGGCATGGGGTAGCTGGTGGTATGTATGCCATGTATTTGTCATAACAGTTTTAGGTAATACCTGAGGTCCTCCACTCCATTCAGCCATCCATTCGGCCATTCATTTACTCTTCATTAAAAAATATATATATGGAGTGTCGACTATGTGGCAGGCACTGTTCCAGGCACTGGGGGGGGGGCGGGGCACAGCGCTATGCAAAATGGGTAAAGAAAATCTATATACCTATTAGAATGCCTTTAAAAAAAAAAGCTTAAAATTTTTTTTAACACCCACTACCAAGTTCTGGTGAAGATACAGAGCGACTGGAAGTCTCATACGATGCCGGTAGGAAGGTTAAAATGATACAGTCACTCTGGGAAAGAGTGAGATGTACGCTCATCACCCAACCTGGCAATCTCATCCTTAAGTATTTACCCAAGAGAAACGACCATATAAGTTCACCAAAAACCTTCAATGGCACCAGTTTTATTGGATATATATTTGAAGTCACTGGAAACTAGAAACAACCCAAGTGCCTTTGAACGAGGGGATGGAGGTAAGCTGCCATCGAGGTTTGACCACTGAAAGTCCCCTGTCCCGGAAAACCCCTCCATCCTGGGGAAACTGGGACAACTGGTCACCCGGTGAGTGGCTAGGCCAGGGCACGCACACAGTACAAGAACCACGGGCCACATGGCTGAACGTGGAATGCATCGTGGGAAGTAGAAGAAGCCAATTCAAAGGTGATGGGCTGCACCATTCCAATTATATGACTTTCCAGAAAAGGCCCAACTCTAGGGACCAAAAAAAAAAAACAAAAAACCAAAACAACCCAGATCAGTGGCAGCCAAGGGCAGGACATGGGAGTGGAGGGGGACGATACAGGGTCCAGAGAACTAGGAACTGTCCTGTAATTGATGGCAGTTGGTCACACAACCATCTGCATGTGTTGGAAACTTCCAGGACTATAGGCTGGAAAGGCTGAATTGAACCGTATGTAAATTATATCTTAATAAATCTGACTTAAAACAAAACAGCCCTGCCCTGTGGAGCTTGCTTTCTGCTGGGAAGAGACAGATGATAAACAAAACAAAGAATTAAACTAGATCTCATGGGAGACATTTTAAAGCCATGAGCCTGAATGAGATCACCAAGGAAGTGGGCGTTTAAGGAGGAGGAGACAAGAGGTGTGGGGACAGGCATGGGGCACCTGGCCTTGGGAAGGTCAGGGAGACCAGCGGGTGAAGGAGGCTGAGGAGGAGGGCCGGCGGGACAGAAGGAAAACCAGAGTCCTGGGGCTCGGGAAGGGAGCGTCTGCAGGAAGAGGGGGGGCTTGGCCACGCCAAATGCTGCTGGGGGCCAAGTAAGGGGAAACCAGAGACTTGAGCATCTGGCAATGGGTTTGGGCAGCAGGGAAACCACTGGTGACCTTGACAGAAGTCTGCTTAGCGTGGCCTGTGGGTGGAAGGCAAGAGGCCGATGGGAGGCAGAGTGGTCAGTGGAAAGGCACCAAAATGGGCAGGGCAGCGGGCCCGGCTGGAGGTGGTCATCCGAAGTCTGGCCTGACATGTAGGCGACCCCGGGGCTCAGCGAGACCCCATCTGCCCTCTCCACTGCCTTAGCAGGACCAGGGGCGCAAACCCCAGTATGGCGGCTCTTCCCCTCGCCTGGACCTTTGGCCCCCAATCCTCTGTTGGCCTTCCCTGCCCAAGACACCCAAACGCAATAATGAGTCCCTGTCCTGACACAAAACACAGGGCTCAACAGGATCCCCAAAGCTGGCAAAGGTGGGACACGCCCCCGCACTGGCTGGACATGGCCTTCGGGCATGCAGCGGGCAGAGGGCCCTGGGGTCTGAGCCCCGAAGCCACCTCGCATTCGGGGAACGCTGAAGTTCAAGGGACAGGCTATCCCACCTGTCAGCCCCCTCGGGGGCGGGAGGGGCGCTGGAAGGGCAGAGGGAGGATCCTCCCAATCCAGGCCCCCATGTACACACACAGGTGCACGCATGCTCACGTGCCTCGCATGGTGCTCACAGGCACACTTGCCCAACGATGGTAGAGGCCACCGTTACACGGAGCTGAACCCGTCCACACTGCGCACATTCACACCCATGCTCACACCCACGCACCCCTGCACCCACCCCCAGGCACACACTCAGCTCCCAGCCGCCCCCAGTGAGAAAGGCCCCCCCAGCCCCACCCCAGGCTCCACCAAGCCCATCTGCAAGGTGGCCCCGGGCCCAGGCTCACCGCAGGTCTGTGCTCCCACCTGGTGGCCATTTGAGGAACTGGCCGTGACTCAGCCGAAGTGGAGAAGGGGGTTTCGGGTTGGGGTTTGGGAAGCGGGACCGTTGAGCGGGGCCCGCTCCCATCCCAGGGTTACAGGATTCTGGGGCATCACCTGACTCAAACTCCTCCTTACAGAGCACGTTCCCATGCCTACACTTTCAGGCTCTGCAAAGGATGCTTCAGTCCAGCATGGTCAGCAAGAATCTGGCTCACTGTAGGGCCTGTACGAAATCTCCCAGGGGCTTCTAAGGAGCAAGCGGAACCACACAGCTTCTTGGAAGGCTCGGAGGCCTGGGGTTGTACTAGCAGGAGCACAGGCCTCACAGCAAGGGAGGTGAGAGTACACAGGTACACAGACAACAGGGCTGGGCGGGGGCGGGGCTGGGGAGCACCTGACAGGGTGCGGTGGTGTGTCCTAGAGAAGAGGAGTCTTGGAGGGAGGTTCAGAGCCATCGGCCCTTTTTTAAATGGACTTTAGCATCATTTGCGGGCTATGGATAGATTTGTCCCATGGTACACCAGGGGGCAAGATGCAGCTTTTCATCCCCAATTAACAGATGAGAACAACGAGGCCAAAGAGAGGTCGTGATCTTTCCAAGTCACCCTGGGGTGGGGGGCATTAGTGGCTGTGCTAGAGGCTTGCACCTTCCCCAACTGTCAAGTCCTCATCACAGCGCCCAGGTGAGCCCTCCAGCAGGTGTCCTGCCTGCACTTCATCCCGTTTCCACCTACCCTCCACGCAGCAGCCGAGGGGAGTCTTTGATAACCCGCGGTATCTCACGTCTCTGCTGAAGACCCCCAGAAGCTGGCATCACACTCAGGGCAAAAGCCGGAATCCTTATGACTTCGTGTAAGACCTGCTGTGACCCAGTCCCCCGCTGGTCCCCGCCTCCCCACTCTCTCCCCCACACTCAGCCGCTCTACCCACTGTTGTCTTTGCTAGTCTAGCCTGTCTTCCCCCTCGAGGATGGAAGCCCCACAAGGGCAGGCTTCTCTGTCTTCTTCCCTGCTCTTTTCCCCCACGCCCGGCATCAGAGACCCTCCCTCAGTATCTCAATCAGCCTGTGGGACCAGGAGGGGATCGGGCTCAGGTGGCTCGGGTGTGGCTGCAGGCATCGCCACAAGGGGGCGCTGAGAACTCGCCTTTGCTGAGACTGTCTTGCCAAAACCCGGCCATTTCTACACTTTGCAGGATAAAAAAAAAAAACAAGTAAAAGCAGAATCGAGGCTTCTGGTTCCTGATTTATGTGGGTGACTGGGACTCTTGAATGTGCAGCGTGGAGTTCGGAGCACAGAAAGGCTGGCGGCCTGGGTCTCACCCCTTGCGGAACTTGAGGGCCGACCCCGCAGATTGCATCTGCCACAGGCAGCGGGTAAAGGTCCTGTCTTTGCAGGTGTGCGTGAGCATTAGCGGAGACACTAGGTAGGTGCTTGAAGCAGTGCCTGGCACGGAGCTGATATCTGTTCGGTATTTTCTGTCGTTATTACAGTCTCTAACGCCCCCGTTGTTTCCAGCCGTCACCCATCGTTCCCCTCTACGGAGCGGGGCTCAGGCGGTCCTCGATGACCACGATGCCCACAATGCCCCGGATCTTCTATCTGGCAGAATGCTACTCACAGACGGGTTTGCAGGGGGTTCTGGCTGCCCTGCTCTCCCCTGAGATGCAGAGGGGACCCCACCCCACCCTGCCCGTCAGGCACCTGTCCCTGGCCCTGTCCCCATGACCCGCTCACCTTGCCTGCGGAGGGCGCTGGGGGCCCTGGGGGCTGGAGGACGATCAGGTCTGGCCCCTTGAAGGTGTGGGGCAGCTGTGCCCGGTAGCGGCGTAGAAGCGTGTTCAGGACACTTGACTCGTTGACACTGACCAGGGAGGCCAGGTCCTCAGCCTGGTCCAGCTCAGGGGGGTTAGCCTGTGAAGCATCACACAAAGTGTCCTCTGGGCCTCCATACCACCACCCCCGGCCCTACATGCGCGCGCACACACACGCGCACGCACACACACCAAGCCCCCGTGACCCCGTCCCTGGAGAGCTGTTTGCCTCAGACCAGGACAGAACGCGAAGACTCTGGAGAGAGAAACAGAACCCTACAAATGAAATAAGGACACCTCTGCTCCTTTGCCCTTTGTACATCCTGAGAGCCACCTGTCTCTTCCCGCTGGTCCTCCCTCCTGCACTCACTGCCCTGGGAGGGGAGATGCTCCGGAGAGACACAGCAAGATTCGGAGAGATTCCTGTGTCTCAGACACCACAGGAAGGGTGGTGGTCCAGAGTGAGCAAGTGTGCATGCCTGTTGCCCCCTCTCCGGGTCTTACCAGGGAGCCCTGCAGGTGTTCTGTGACACTAGAGAATGAAGACCAGTGGCCGAACAGCCCTGTTTCTCTGATAGCCCATCATGCATTGATCCCTTGGAAATATGCCCAAACTCTTCCAGAAGCAAGGGGTGATTGCAGCTTCTCCTTGGGGCATCCATTCTAAAAGGCTTCCTACTATTCTTTCCAGCTTCAAAGAGTTTTCTGGACCTGATGCTATGCGGTTTGGGTCAAGCTCAGGCTCCTCATGGGTCAGCCTTTTTTTAAAGGACAGGGGTTCACTACAAACTCTGAACACCAGCAGAGTAGAGGGCCTGGGGCGGGCAGAAGGTAGAGAAGGAGGAATAATGAATGAGACCCACAAGGAGCTCCTGGAAGGAACACCTTGATTAGTATGCTGTGAGAGGTGGAAAAGGATCAGGACAGGACCATTTTTCCCATCATTAGACTCTAAACCTCAAAAAGATTCATGTGTACTACAAAAATTATGCAAAACACAATTGGGCTTATCAACCAAAAGAAAAGTTAATACCCTAAGTAATTGGCCATTGAAACCTAAGCTATAGCTAATGGCAAGCTGCAAATTTGGCTCTGAGTTCCCTGGCAGCCAGGGTGAAAAGGGAAACATGCTCTGTAGCATGATTTGCAATGTCCATAAAATGAAAAGCCAGCACTTCCTTGGATCAAGCAGAACTCCCAGTTCTGACACACGTCTGTTCATGTGTCCCACGAAGAGAACACTGGGATAGAGCAAAGCCCCCTGACAATATACCACCAGCAGAGCAATGAGATCAGGGATGGTCTTCCTTACAACTCCCTCCAGTATGTGCAGTCAGGTACAAGGACCTCTCTTGCAGGGGTGGGGAAAGAAGGTGCGGAGCAGGTGGGGAGGGGGACAGAGGGCTCACCCTATGAACATGCTCCTCATCCACCTCGGTGATGGTTTTGTCAGCATCGATGCAAAGTCGTACCCTTCCTGCCGGCAGGTCAGCTGTCCCCTCATCTGGCTTCAGCACAGTTGCTGGTGACAGCCCAGAGAGAGAGAGAGAGACAAAGAGAAAAGACAGGCTCTAAGCCGAGCAGCCAGACCAGGGAGCTTAAAAAGGGATCCTGGTTCGGGTCAGAAAGGGGCAGCACTGTCTCCCCTTGGGGGCCTACTCACATGGAGGGTTCTGAATTGTGACCCCGAAATCTTTGAGGACGGGAGCTGGGTCTGACTCACCTTGGGCTTTAATCATCAGGCCCAGTGCCAGGCACAGGGCAGGCACCCTGATGTTTGGGTGCACTGACCCGTCTCATATCTAGACCTGGGATGGCAGATAATGCTACACCAGCTCCCACTTCCCATTCCAGGGTCTGTGGCAGACATCACTAATCAATCACTCTTCCCAGCTGCGTTCTGATGGGGACTCATAATTGCTTCTCAGTAGAGGATGGTCCCAACTAATTGACAGAAGTGGACTCGTGAGATGAAATCTATTTGCCCATTTGCACTACGCTTCATTTTCTCGAAGAATACTCGAGCCCACCAATGCTCCGTGCATTCATGAACTTCGTTAGTTACCAAGGCGTAATTGCCTTTGGAAACAGTCCCCAGTAGACCAGCTGCCATGGGTCAAATGATTCTCAACTCTTCCCAGTCCAAAAGCCACAGACTCCCACCCTAGACTTGGCTGCTCCTTGCCCCTCACCTTCCCCCTGCCCGAAACTGTGATCTGGCAAATACGACTAGCAGCGGAGGGGGCGCGAGAGGAAAATACTTAGACCCTCCCCTACTTAGGTGCTAACACTCTTAATTACCAAGAGTGAATCCATCCTTCTGAACCAGCCAGACTTTCTCTGCCTCGTACCATCTGTCCTCAGGAGCCTGAGAGCAAAGATCACATAAATCAGACCAAGAGGACCCAGCCCCACCCCAGCCCCACCCCCACCCCACCCTGAGTCAGCAGCGAACCCTTTACATGGGAGCTTCTCACAGTGCGATCCGGGACCACTGAAATCAGAATTTCCCCAAGGGAGAGCAAGGAGGGGGTGCTTATTTACATGCAGATGCCTTGGCCCCACCCCTGACCTTTTGAATGAAGGCTCCAAGGTGGGGCCCGGGAATCTGCATTTTGAGCAATCTAGTTATGCAAGTTTGAGAACTAGCACGTGACAGGGTGAGTAAGCTGAACCATGAGAGGACATCTCCCATTATTGGGACCTCCCTCATGCTGTGGAGAATCTTAACCCGGGACAGGGGCAGTGGGGGCCTCCAGACCCCAGCATATCGAGGAGGAAGTGCTATGCCCTCTTCTCGAGCTGGCCATCCCTCTCCGATTCCCTGTCCATCTCCTATCCTGCCTTATTCACCCCCAGGGGCAAGTCTGTCCCATCCCTCCCTCTCTGGAGGGTCCCTCTTGCCCTACCCCACTCCCGGGGCTGCAGCCCCTCACCTGATCCGAGTCTTCGCTCTTTCCTCCTTTGCTCCCCTCCGGCAGGGCTGGCCCCTCTTCACTCTCCTTCCGAGTCTGAGACCTTTCTGCCTGGCCCTCCAGAGCAGGTGGTCTGCGTCCTTCCAGCTCCATCTCCGGGGCCTCGGCTCCATCATCTGCTCCTGCGCAGGGCTCCCCAGCTTTCTGCCCTCTGCTGTCTGGCCAGCCCTCCTTCCCAGCAGCTGCTGGGGTCTCCCTGCGTGCACCCACCTCCTCGGGGCCTTTACGGCTCTTCTCTGTCTTCCCCCCAGCTTTACCTGCCTCCACGGACTCACCCTGAGGTGGCCCTTCCTTGCCTACCTTAGCCTGGGGCTCACCTGCCTTCCCAGGCACACTCTGAGGCTCCCCTGCTTTCTCTACCTGTCCGGGAACTTCTCCCACCTTTCCGGGCTTCCCCTGCCCTTTGCTCACCTTCTCCGCCTTGATCTGCGGGTCCTCTGACTTCTCTGCCTTACCTGGGAGCATACCTTCTTTGTCCTTCTTACTCTGGGGACCGTCCCACTTGCTCCTTCTGCCCAGGGAGCCTCCCCACTTTCTCACTTGGATTTGGGCCCCAGCCCACTTCCCTTCACCTGCATCCTTGGAGAGATTCCCCTTTGCCATCGTGTTTGGGGGGTCCCCTTCCCCCTTCTCTGCTGTCTCCTGCCACCCCCCTTCGCCTGGCCCCTCTCTACCCTGGAGCTCACCCCCTTTCAGCCCTTTGGTCTGGGGGGCCCTGCCCCCTTTCGCCCCTGCACCTTGTTTTGTTGGTAGCACCATTCCTGGGTCCGCAACACCCTCAGTCTGAGTCTTCTCAGCCTTTGGGGCTGTGTCCTTAGTGCCGGCCTGGGGGCCAGGAGGAGTCCCTGGAGTCTCCCCCTTTTTTTCCCCTCCAGGGTCTGTGGCTGGGGGTGGGGTTTTGCAGGCAGGGGCATCATGGGGCTGGGTCCTCTGCTCCGGCTTGGCTGAGTCTGGGTCCAGCTTGGCTACCATCAGCAACACGTCACCCCGTCTCACACCTCTCTTGAAGGGCAGGGGTTTTTTGGCTGGTGTCCCACTGGGGCCCGATTCCTGGGGCTTCTCGCCATTGATGCTGGTCATCAGCACGGGGTCTGTGGGGCCGGCCCCCTCGCTCTCCTTGCCCGGAATGTTTGAGTTCTGCAGAGAGCTTGACTGGTTGCCTTGGCAAATTTGCTGATTTCCAGATTTGGTGTCACTGTTGGACTTGCTCTTGGGTTGGCTAGTGGAAATTTCTGGGGTCTAGGAGAGAGGCCACAACCACACTTAGCTGCTTGCTGACCAGCCGGCTTTGCCATTCGGTCACTCACTCACTCACTCACTCACTCACTCACTCATTCCTTTGTCCACCCAGCCATTCATCCATCCAAAGACCTTCAAGCACTAATATCTGACAGGCACTGGGCCAGGCAGCGAGCCGAGCCCCAACACCCTGGACCTTGGCCTGGCGTCTCAAGACCAAGTGACAAGAGTGGAAGGAGAGTAGACTTTGGAGCCCAACAGACCCAAATTCAGCTCCTCATTCTGCCATTCGTTAGCTGTGTGGCTTTAGGTAAATTACTTCCCCTCTCTGAGCCTGTTTCCTTATCAGTAAAATGAGAATCATCATGGCCCACCTCAAAGGGCAAGCATTATGATTCATGACAATATAGGAAACTGAGCCCAGCACAGAGTAGGTCCTCCCGCCCCGATTAGAGAAAGAACCCCGGGGGGCAGGTCTGCCCTGATGCCTGGCTTCACCGCCTGCCTGAGTCTGGGTTCTGCCATCAGGAACCATACTGACCCTGGCCTCCCACACACCTAGACCTGGGGGGTCTGGGGTTCTCACCCTCCTCTTGCACCCAAAGCCCCAGGACCATGTTGGTTCCACCCTGCATGGCTTCACCCCTGTGTCTCCCTTCCCAAGCCCGGCTCCACACTCACCTGGGCTGTTGTCATAGTCTGGACTGCTGTCCCTTCGATTTGCTGCCAACTATTTTAAATCCGCTCAAAAGATTTTGGCAGCGGCCCCTAGCCTACAGGAAAATGATTCCATACCATCCTCTGCCATCCAAAGCCCTCAACAAGGAGTCACCACCCTCCATTTGGTCTTATTGTCCCTGCTCGTCCCCATGCTTGAGCCACATGGGGGCATCTCCTACCACACCTGACAGTTCTCTGCTTCCGTGCTTCTGTTCCCATTAGCTTGCTGCCTGGAATGCTCGTTCTGCCTTCACCAGCCCGTGCTCCACTCATCTTTCCACACCCAGCTCAAATGCCATCCCCTCCGCAAATCTCCGCCTGCAGACCTCAGTCAGAACCTGTCTCACGCACCCCGGAGGCCCCGGGGCACCGTCTGCAGCGATGATCACAGTCTGCATCCCATTCGAGCTTCGATATGTGTTTCTGTCCCGTTTCAGGTGGTGGATGCCTCAAGGACACGGTCTCTATCTACAGCTTTGTAATGATGATGATGATGATGATAGTCATAATAGCCACCACACACAGATCCCTTTTGCAAAGGGCCCTACATCGCCATCATATCCTACTTAACCCCAGTAAGGACCCAGTGAGGTAGGTTCTGAATGGCACCCCCACCGTTCTACAGATAAAGAAGGGAACACAAGGATATCAGGTGGCCCAAGAGACAAAGTCAGAATGTACAGTCAGGCAGATGTCTGTGGCGCTAAGCTCAGTGCCCTCAACTGATGCATATTAACAGCCTTACTTGTCCCTAGGACTCACCAGAATCTCCTGGGAGCTTTACAAAAATACTGATGCTCTGGTCCCAGTCCCAGAGAGTTGGATGGAGTTGATCTGGGTTGTGGCGCCCTCACCAGGTGATTCCCCTGTGTAGCCAGGACTCAGAACGCCAGCTCCAGGGCCCACGGCTTAGTGGCTCAGTCTGACCAGGAGCCAAGCAGGACCTAGCCTTGGAAAGGGGCTTGGCTGCACTTGGCAAACATCACCACTGTCTGTACCATTTTTGAAAAGTGAGTCAGTGCCTTATTTTTAACCAAACCACCATAGCAGAGACAGTAACATGGATCTGAGCCAAACAAGATAACCCAACTCTACCCTCCCTCCCTCCCACCCATGGACTCTTCTCCTTTGGATTTTCTTAGTCACCAAAGCCCCAGTCCGCTCTGCGGCCTTCTCGGTAGACGGGGGAGGAGTTACCTCTAGAATCACTGAGGCCAAGAGGCAACTCCCACACGTCCATTTTACAGATGAGCACACCAAGGCCTGGACCACACAGAGTGATGGGGCCTGGAACCCAGCTCTCCTGACATTCGATATGGGCCCCTTTCTGCCCCAGGGTTGTCCCAGCCTCTCCCTGTCTCACCGGCTGCCTGGTCTTCGGAAAACCAAGTCACCTCTCTGAGCCTCGTTTTAACTCCCTGCAAACTGGTGACAGAGTCTAATGGCTCCTTGCAAGGATTACACGAGGACCTTGTGCTGGGTTAAGGAGAGAATCCAGTTATTTACCGATTGGGACAAGAAAATTAAATTGGAAAGAACCAGCCAGGGCTCACTGCCTCGCAGAAACATGTCCCGAGGCTGCCATGCTCCCGCCCCAGGAACATCTTGGCCCATGGTCCAGACACCTGTTGTGGTCTGAGGCCTGTCCATCCTGTGGCTTGGCTTTGAGTCTCTGCCTAGGCCCTGGGGTGACAGTTTGTCCCCATCCTGTGCTCAGCTCTGCTCCTTAACTTGTGTCCCGTGACACTGGCGTGGTCTGCAGCCTTGTGGAACACTTTCCTGCCCAGGCCTCTGTGGCCACATCAGCCACCTTGCTCCCCAGACTGGCCCTTCCCGAGGCGGCTCACCAGAGCAGAGAACACACAGACACTTGCCCTGCCTCAGCCTCTATCTGGCCTCATTGACCTTGAGCAAGTTGCTTTGACCTCTCTAAACCTCAGTCTCCGCCTCTGAGAAGTGGGTATAATCCCATCTACCCCATGGCTGCAGAGGAGCTCAAGGGAGCCTGTGAGCAGCAAAGTGGACCTCGTCTAGTAATAAAGAGCACACGCTCACATAGCATCATGACCTAACCACAGCCTATGGAGGTTGACTTTGGCCCCCACTTACGCCCGGCTCCGGCAGGGGTGGGGACACAGCCCATCCTCCCTGTAATCCTCCCCCAGAAGACTTGGCCGGGATGTTTCTACAGTTGCTGCCGTTATGCAGTGAAACCATTGTAACTGGACAGGGGCGGGCCCGTGGGGGACCGGACAGGCAAACAACAGCTGAAGGGCAGTGGGAGGCAGAGCCTGGCTGGTCACCAGGCCCAAGCCAACTCCAGGCCCCGGGGGCCACCAGATCACTCAGCCCAATCACTGCAGTATTTGCTCCACCGCAAGGGGGCGCTGGAGAGACACAAGGAGGTGCCCTGTCTATCTAACAGTGCTAACACCCAAGCCCACCTGCCTGGTGTCCAGCCTCATCATCTTGCCCGGGGTTCCCTGGCTAAGGACCTGGGGGAAAGGACAGAGGCAGCACTGGCCGCCATCAGGGATAAATTTGCAAGTCCTTAAAGCACAGGGGCTGTATCTTGTCCAACGACTTCAATCCCGCGGCACTATTCAGAATAATTAGGGGATTTAGCGGACACCGACCCATCAAAAATGATGCCAACTGGAGCCGGGTACTGAGGTCCCTACTTGTGCCAAGCATTAACCCTTTAATTATTGGCATGTGGCCATTCTGAGGGACTCAGGGGAGGGGCAGCTGGAGGGCGCTGGGGGGGCCTGGGGTCACACCTGTTTGCCCCCTGGTATGGAGAGGTTTTGATATTTTAACAACCAATATACCTATCACCAACAACTGAACATAGCCAGTCACTCAATATCTTTTCCATGTAAAGTAAGCCAACTCCACATCCTTAGCTAACATCTAGGTTCCTTTTTCTGCAAAAGTAGGGGTAAAAAGATCCCCATAATTGCACATCAGCTGATATCCTTCATTCATTCATTAAACAAACATTTGCTGAGCACTCACTCTGGGCCAAGTTCTACAGGAGGTGCTCCAAATATTTAACTATGCCAACCACAATTAAGGCAGACACAGAGGGTGCTGTGGGAGTCGGAGGATGGAAGGCAATGGCAGAGCCTTTCAGACATGTACTATTTGGGCTGGGTTTTGAAGGAGGCATAGGAGTTTGGTAGATCAGCTGAAGAAAGGACATTCCTCCAAGCCAGGAGAGCAGGAGAGAAGGCAAGATGGTGACTGACTCAGGGGGTTCATAGGACAGGACAGTAGGTGTTGACTGGCACCCAGTCCCCTTCCTGGAGGGCCACTTACCTCTTGTTCTGGAGAGGCGAGCACTGCCTCTTTCTTCAGCCTTGCTTCTTTGGACTCTTTCTCGGTCTCCCGGACCAGTTGCTTAATGAAGCCCCCTGGGATGACAGAGAAAAGGGGAGGGGGCGAAGACGGTGGAGGGCTCTTGTCCTCCTCCCGAATCTGTTTTTGCGGAAGCAAAGAAAGAGAAAGCTCAGTGAGTGAACCAGTGGGAGCAAGCGGACCTTTGAAAAGTTTGCAGTGGAGGCTGGGAGGAGGCCGAGGAGGACATACATGACCAAGCGCATGTATGAGAGGCCGCAGCGAAGCAGATGAGGTTGGGCGGGGCTCTGGGACACCTTGAGGCAGCACATGGAAATGGAATGCCTGAGCCGCAGAGGCCGACCTGTCAACATGATTTCTGCCTGGAACGAATTTCCTCATAATGTGAGTTTGGCCCATCGGTTCCCTTCCTTGGCATGGAACAGACTCTGGGAGGACCTGGTCTGTAAGGAGCTTTTCCAAAAGGGGATGGACCCCAGGGAACCATGCACATTCTCTGCCTCAGCTTGCAGTTAAAATAACAGATTAGTCAGTTACTCACCTATGGCATGCCAGGAACATGGGAGGGTAAGGAATGGTTTATATAAAAGTCCAACCCTCTGGCAACAGCCTACTCCGCTGACCCAGGCCTGTGGCTTCTTGATGGTCCTTAAACAAGGATCCGGGCAGCCAGGGGCTCCCCACCCTGGATCCTAAAGCTGGCAGGCTGGAATCTGGCATTTTACACTAGAAACATGGCCTCAACCCAAGCTGGCTGGAGTTGGCGTGTAGCTGAGACTCCTGTGTGGACCACAACGACCTAGGGATTGAGGCAATGGGACCTGCTCTTGCCAGTGGGCTGTATCTTTAACCAGCATCACTGTGACCACCCACGAGGGGAAAAAAAAAAATCTGCAGGGCTTTCTACGGCAGAGCCACACGCTGGTTAAAATAAGCTCCTTATCAAGGTCCTCATGTGTGGCTGGCAAAGACTTGATCTCTGCAGCCCAGCTGATAGAAGGGGAATCCAAAGGAGATAGGAGAGACCAGGAGACAAAGCAGAGGCCAGGGGTTAAGGCCGGTTGATGCAGACCTCTATCCAGGGAGAGAGAAGCATGGAGCATGCGAGGCTGGGCTCCCGTGGACCCCACGCCTCTCCCTCTCGATGGGGACTGAAAGCCATGTCATAAGACAGAATGAAGCTTAAGGCCCACTCAGCAGGTGTCAGCCTCTTATTCCTGCAGCATTATTCACAACGCTACACCCAGATCAGCCCAGGAGAACAAAGGCAACCAGGAGGGAGCCAGAGAGAACTTCTCAACCACCCACCCCTCAGCCTCCCGTGCATCAAATCACACACGAGGGTGGGATGTGCGGTGAAGGAGACAGGAGGCATCAGAGAAAGAGACGGCCCTTCGTGGTATCTTGTGAGAAAATACAAAAGGGGAAAAGAATAACTGGGAAGAAGGGCCCGTTTCCAGTTCTCCATGGTGACAGAAGGCAGGAGCCACGGAAACACATCCTCAAGGCAGAAGTCTGGCAGCCAACAGCTCTGTCTCTGCCCCACCGCCCACACAAGCCCAGTGTTCATGGGAGTGGCCATGACGATCCGGACAGGACAGCTGGTCTACCCTCATTCCCCCGCCGCCTACTGAGGAACCGGAAGAGACCCGGCAGTCATGGGAGGAGTTCAAGGGGATCATGAACTGGGTTGGAGAGGCTGTGGCTAGCCAGAGCTGGCTGAGAGGGCATGGAGGGGGTGCCTGGACACGTCACAGGGAGGCACTGGATGCCAGGCTCCTCGCCTGAAGCGGGAGGGGACAGCCTGGGCCACCCATGCTCTGACTTGTCCTCTGACTTGGCGGTCGGCCCCAGGGCTGTAGCCTGAGCCCTGAACATTACTTTCCTTCTGCTCCCACAGGGCGAGGCGTGATGAGATGGCCATGCTGAGGCGGTGTCAGGGCTGAGATGGGATGACACAGAGTTCTCTGCTGGACAGCACGAAATGTGGCTTTATGGATGCACACAGCACACGAGACGGACAGATGGAGACATGGGTGGGGCGGGGGAGAGAAGAGAGATACAGGTTAGCTCTTGGTCACAGCCCTCCTCCCACCCACCCCCCACCAGCGCCACAGACCAAGGTCACACGGCTAGGCACAGCCCACGGGGAGGACCCCGGTCAGCATGGAGGCCGCTGGTGGCCGGGTGGACAGTGCCCCTAAATCCTTTTCCCCTTGACCCCACACTTTGACTTGTCATTGAGATATAACAAATGTCAGAAAATACAGAAGTATACAGCTCAGCGGCTCTCACCCAAAGACCGTATCTATTTAACCAGCACCCTGATGAAGAATAAAAAACATCGCTTTATTTGTAAGATCAGGCCGATCTAATCTATGGTGATGAAGGTCGGAGGAGCTGTTAGCTTTGGGCTGGAAAGGGGCACAAGGGAACCTCCTGGGGTGATGGAAATGTTCTATATATTGATCTGGGAGAGGGCCCCACAAGTGCATCACATGTAAAAGTTCACCCGGCTGTACAATTAATTCACTGGATGGCAATCACAGCTCAATTCAAAAATAAACAAAACAGGGGCACCTGGCTGGCTCAGTTGGTTAAGTGTCCGACTCTTGGTTTCGGCTCAGGTCATGATCTCATGGGTCG